GCTAAAATGATGTGTACGCAACTGCGTATCTGCATATCTGCACCTAACAAAGGTGTCACTACGCACAACTGAAATGTTACGTTTATAACCGTTGCAACAGACCTCAGATGAGCCCAGACGCTCTGCGGCTCTGGTTTAATTTGTGTGGCAGAACATAGTTTGTATTCTGATCTAATGTACATTACCTTCCACGCACGTCCGCAAACGTAAAACGCATTACTGTGATGATTTAGCGCTAGCTTAAAACAGCTTGAAAAAAAACAGGGGATATATATTATACTTGAGAATTGTAAACTTCTTTGGGTGCTAGGAATAGTCGAAGATAAGACAGACATTCGGTATCACTGAAAGAATAATATGCAATAAATGGTCATTCATTATTAAACTATATATATATATATATATATATATATGATATATGGTGTGTGCGTGTGTGTGCCCGCGCGTGTGTGTGTGCGCGCGCGCATGTGTGTGTGACGGGTTAAACCTTTATGGCCCTGTCACACTAGGGCGTAACGTATGCCAGCGTATGAGATTTTTCGCCAATACGTTGGTGTACGTTGATATAGGTTAGGAGTATGTTAGGCATAAGTTGTATTTGTTAACAGCACGCTGTGATACGCTGTCGTACGTCGAGGAACGCCGAGACAGAAAAAATGTTTTGGTTTGTTCAAAACTTTTAGCGTATGACAACGTATAATTCATAGGTTAGGCATACGTTATAGATACGTTCAAGATACGTTGTGGGTACGTTAGACATACGTTGACATACGCTAAAGGTATGTTAGAGGTACGTTATTCATACGTCGAGATACGTCGGCTGAGGGTGTAACGTACACCTAACGTATTGACAACGATTGAGTAACTTACTTCTAACCTATATTGGACGTATTTGCAACGTATCTTGACGTATTCAGACGTATTGTACGTATGCCTGGCGACGGAGTAACGTATTTAACGTGTTTCTACCGTACAGCTAGCGTTCATTTGGCGTACTGTGAGCGTGTTGCGGGCGCGTTGCGGGCGAGTCCCAGATATTAATTAGATTTGCTTGCAAGAACTCCAGCATACTCTCCTCCTATTCTACTGTAAGTGAAAAGACAATCTTCGTAGCCCTCTCTTCTTTGCCTGGTCATTGGGCTTCCTGGAGTTGGAGGCAACAGAAACGACAGAGCCTTCACGGGACGGAGGAGTGGGTGAGCGAGGTTCTCTGGATCTTGACCTGGACTGTGTATGGCCGGTAGGATGAGGGTTAGGCTGGTCAGGCTGGTCTGGTTGGTCAGGCTGGTCACGCTGGTCAGGCTGGTCTGGCTGTTCTGCAGGTGGTGGTGATGGTTTTGGTTGTGCATGGGTTATCTTTGCTCTCCGTCTGCCACTGGAAGGGGCATTCAATCGCTTGTGAGGCATGGTAGATGCTTTATTGATTTATGACGAGAGCGGCACGGTATTTATCCTGTTACGTCACGTGATCGTTCGTGACACGCCGAGCACGCTGCACATGCGCTACTCATACGCTACCCATACGCTGGCCATTCGTCGAGAACGCCAGGCACTCGTTGACCATACGCTCGGATACGCTCCCATAAGTTATATATAAGTTAATGATACGCTATACATACGTTGTGTATACGTTCAATTCGTTGTGTATACGTTATGTATACGACCAATCCACAAAAATCCAGATTTTTTTAGGTGCCCGGGTCGACGTATGCCAGCGTATGATGGGTTTTCCAAAATAATTCATTCGCTCGGCATACGTTAAGGCTATACGCCCTAGTGTGACAGGGCCATTAGCGCGCATTCGTTGGAATGCTCTATAAGTGACGATATAGAAAGGATTTCATGTGTCGACTCACCTATATTTGAGTGTGAAATGGCTAAGAAAAAGCGGCCAGTCAGATAGACAGCCAGGCGCACAGACAGACCGACAGCCGACATACATGCAGACAGACAGACAAAGACAGAGAGAGACAGACAAACACACTGACATGCACCCGAGCGCGTAGGTTGGCCATCGTAGGGGCCTACTCAGAAATAATTATTTTTACAGCGGTAGAAACAATATAGGTAAAATTATTATAGCACTTTTACCCAATCAGGGCCGTACTCAGAAACAATAAAAAATAATAAAAATAAAGATAAAAATAATTTAACCGCGGTTAAATTATAGCTCTTTTATCCAATCAGAGGCCTTGTTACACATAATTGAACCGCCGATAAATTATTTTTCCCGCGGTCAAGTCATGTGTATCAGTGTGTTATTTCTGATGTTTACATGCTAATTTAGGAGTTTGTAACACATACGCATGATACGCTGTGGTTCACTGGCGAGTCGTGACCTATTCACTGCTTGACAGCACAATGTCCTACATCACACACGCGACCATACATAATGGGTGCTTACCATATATTCCTTCCATGTGACAACTAAATGCATACGAAATCTGCACAACAAAGATCAAAAGTCCTACGTTTACATGCTAATTTAGGAGTTTGTAACACATACGCTGTGGTTTACCTGTTCACTGCTTGACAGCACACTGTCCTACATCACACACGCGACAATAAATAGCCAGCTGGACGTTTGTACAGCGCTCATTCTCAAAACCATACCCCCTGGTATCGGTGAGTTTGTGAGCACCCCGTGAGCGTGAGATTTTGTCAATTCACCAGGTAAGCTGTAGCAATATACAGAACATGATACACAAGGAGATTACGTTAAGACTGTTGCAGATCTAGTAATGATACGTATACATATCGCATCTAAATGGTGCTACGTATATACTTCAAGAATTTCACAGTTTCTTTATTTCAAATACTTTCTAGTAATTTCACTTGACCAGCTAATTAATGCATAAACTCGGTTCACAATGTAAATCGTATGATTATGATCTGTTTTACAGGCAAATATATCAATCTTCAACCAACCGAGATCGAGAGACAACGAATAAAGTTAAGATGCAATCCCACGGAAAACAGATAACGTGGACTATGTCGGTCACAACACTACTGGTAGGAATATTCTAATCCGGTTGATAGATTTTCGTCGCAAATGTTTTCATTAATATCTTGGTTTAACAAGTAAATAAAGTAATAACGTATACTTCGCCCTCGATTTAACAGACAAATAGGGGGGGGGGGTCTCCGGTAATGCCGATAGTCTGTTAATTGCTGACTTGGTACGCTAGGGACATTATTTGTGAGTTTTCTTTTCTTATAAAGCCCACTATTAGCACTATACATACATAATACAATAGCGTACATACAATAAACATATTAAACATTGTGAATGATTATAAATAAAGGGTACAGTAGAGCAGTTTTAGTTACATTTTGCGGTAGACACATGAATACAGAGACGTTTTATTTCCATGATCCTATAGCGGGTGCATCACAATAAATTCATTCTGAGCGGGATTCTGAGTCAGCGGATTTATTATCCGTTGCTTCCGATGTCCGCTAAGTCAGGGTCCGTTAAATCAAGAATGAAGTGTACATAAAATATCTATTGTCATCGTTAGTAGGAGCTAGAGTCCGGTGAATTCAGAGTGGGAGGGTGATTCCACCATTTAATACTATAGCTTTATTACATGAACGGATCATTACATGAACGGATTGCATTTCTGTACTGGTTAATCTAAATTATTGATAAAAACCAGTGATAAAAAACAACTCATTTTTACAATAAACGCGTTATTCCTAACATATTGAACACCAACCTATCACTGTTACGCGTCTGTGCAGTCTATCATATTGAATATATATATATATATATATAAGGTGGGAGGGTGCGTACATGCTTGCGTGTATCTTGTGTGTTTGTGTGTGTGTGTGTGTGTTGTGTGTGTGTGTGTGTGTTGTGTGTGTGTGTGTGTGTGTGCGTGCGTGCGTGCGTGCGTGCGTGCGTGCGTGCGTGCGTGCGTGCGTGCGTGCGTGCGTGCGTGCGTGTGAGGGTGGGTGGTTGGTTGCGTGCGTGCGTGCGTATGTAGTAACACGTGTAAATATCTTCACAGATCAAGCACGTCATCATAAACTTTGAGGAGGGACAAGACTTTGTCTTTTACTGCACGTCTGCAGACTGTAAGGTCATCCACGAATTCATTGGTGGCTACATATTCTGCTCCATGCGTTCCAAGGAATCCAGCCAGACGCTCAATGAAGAGTTGTTCCACAAGTTAACGGGAGGCTGGTCGTAAGCTGCCAAGATCCACGGGCGTTGGCTATATGTTATGAGGCCTTCGGGAAATTCTGTGAAACGTGTGTCAGTGCAGCGTCGTTGCCTGCATTCTATGTTGTCTTGTAAAGCTGCTGTTGATTAATGTCAGCCTGAAGTCGTCTCTTCCACAGACGTCAATCTTGTAATATTTACCAAAGGACATTGGTTACTTTGGAATTTCATCGTGTTTTATATCATGATCAACCAAACTGTGAAAGGTATATGTAAACTACATGCTAGAGGCCAGAAGTATTATGATGCGTGTGTTGGACTACGATTTAATATATAACCAGTATGGATAATGCATGGTATCTTGCATAATTTCCAACAAAGAAAACTTTATTGGAATTTATGTTAGCTATTCATTATATCACTGCTATCCCACTTGTATATTTTACAGTCTTCCCCATCTGTTTGTGCAATCATTGAAAACCAAAGTAAAAGTGTTTCTTTACCAGTATATGAAGTCGATATTTAATTAGCTAAAAGTATGTTTAAAATATTTTGGCCAAAGAATAATTAGTTAGCTGATTCAAAATTTCATTGCTGTATGAGCAAGTTAATAATAACGGTATTGTAAGTGTAGTGCTAAATGCAATGTAGAAATGATATCAATTAAATATGTATAGAATATTAGTAAAAAAAACTAGTAATCTTTGGGGTTTATAATGAAAAAGATTCCATGCTTGTTATTAATAGTTGCAATTCAACTGTTTTTAAATGCTTGAGAAAATTGGGAAATTGAAAAAGGGGTATCCTTTAAGCAGGATGGAGGACAGATGAAAGCTGCATCTTGGTTGACATCAAAATTATGAATAGTCATGGGTGGGGTTCTGTTTTTGTACTCAAACTGTCAGTATAAAAACAGGATGCCACCCTCTTTCCAACTTGCCACCGACACTATCTATTGCTTTCTTTGACGTTACACATACCAGCTTGCTTCTTTCTTTTTTTTATAGTTGTTCGTTCCTAAGCATGCATGCATCGTGCAGAACGTCACTAGGTTTTCTAAGTGTTGGTGAATGTTTTGAGGGTGGCCCATGTGCTCCTAATATCTTCCTTATTTCATATTTCACTGTAATCTCGTTAAGGGTTTTATTTGAAATGTAGAGATGCGATTCTTGTAAATGATACCTGACTATGTGACTGTGTACAGCAGCTATTCATTAGCTGGCATTGCGTCGATTTTTACACCCGTTTTGAGTTTTCTATGAATATTAAAAGTGCCTTGCCTGTGTAAAGAGGTTGTTGGGTAAAAGCGAAATTGTCATTCACGATTATTACTACGAATACCCAAACCAAATAATGTGCCTAGCTAACAATACTATGAACAATATAATTAGATTAGAGTTTTTAGTTGGTTTATCAAACCGATTGTAATATGTATTTATATTGAGTTGTTTCTTAATCACTTTGTATGCTTCATGAAATGTATGAGAAAATGCCGTTAGCAAAAGGGATAAGCTTAAGTATATGAGCCAATTGCCTTCTTGATTATACCAAACGTGTATAGTGGGTGCGCGTAAGATTCGCTTTTATGTTTCAGAATGCGTGCGCTGTACGTGTGTGGCTTCGTGTTGTGATTTATCTCGGGCGTGATTGCAGTGTCAGCACGTCTATTGCTTCAGCGCGCTAGTGAGGCCGATGAACATAATTATGATGTATGCGCGCGAAATAGCTTTTACGCGGTTGCGTGATGTGAACACTCCGGTTTGTATTTCGCGAGTATTTTATAACAGGGTTGTGAGTGCGATCAGGCGCCGGCAGCAGTCTACATCTCCATCAAGTCGTTTCATCTTTATTAATTTTTATATTCATAATAACATCAAACTCAAATGGCCTCGAACTGCATGTATTTATTTGTTTTATTAAATATAGTTCCCGAATAAGCTATCAAACGCGGCGTGCAAGTGCGCCTAGTACTAGCGACCACTCTTGGCATGTTTTACTGGTATCTTCAGGTATCTGAAAACTTGCATTTATCATGACGATCTTATAGGTCGAAATATGAATTTGTTTGGACGGAAAGTTTTGAAATTTGTTGTAATCGTATTATAGGCTTTACATAAAAAGTATAGTTATTTCTGTTGTATACATGTGTTGTGACACTATTTATATAATCTTTGTTAAATTTCAAGCTTTTTTAGCTCATCTGACGTAGTCAGATGCAGCTTGTAGAATCGCATGATCGTGCGTCCGTCCGTGCGTGCGTGCGTGCGTTCCCGGTCCGGTTCCGTGACGTTGGCGTCGTCCGTCAATCTTCTAACGGCGCTCGATTCCACCGGCTCACGCCTCTTGCCTCACTACTTTCCGTGACTGCTCGGGGGGGATCGTGAAAAGGACCTACGGTATGACAAATTTTAAGGGGCCAAGGGGTCAATCACGTCCATGAGACGTGTTAAACCGGAAGGGCAAAATATTTCCGCCTTTAACTAAGTAACTCGGAAGGAAATACGGAACTTGCGGCACAACTTCTCTAATCCCGCCTCGACTATGCTCTTAACTTATATTCGTGTATGTGTGGACCGCCAGGAAACCCAGTCACCAGTGCGAAATTGAGGTCCAGTCAAAGGGCATGTGGGGGAAAAAGGGTCAAGCATATCAGACAATTTTCTGCGCCAGGACTCATGGCCTCAATGGAGCAGCGAGTGAAGATAACTCTTTTTGTTTTCAGCGCTGACGCTACCATTATTTAATCACTTATTGCAAAGACTGCAATGCAAAAAATTTGACGTAACACGGACGCTTTCGCCATTACGTAGTGAAGATAAGTGTCTGATAATCTTTTGACCCTCGGCTTCCTCTACACGAGGATTATGTTTCATACATATCCAACGGCGATGTCCTTGTCACACTGCTCAATGAAGTCTTCACCAGTGTTCCCTCATTATTCATGGGCTGACACTCCATAATCCTACGAAAGACCAATAAGTCCTCGCAAGCGTCGAACGCTCTACAACCCGCAGGCGTCACGTCTCAAAGGTCGTTGGATAGATGATCCCATGCAACCTTTTTTATTATTTACGCTGTTTTCTAGTATTTTTCTTATCTTTATCTCTCATTTGAAACTCAATTTCCTCCGAATAACACCGCACAATATTATACATATGATTTTATTTACAACATTTTAATTAAAAAAACATATAACTTTTACAACATCTCTTATTTTTTTTAACTACACTTAACGGGTGCTTATGTGTCACAGCGCGACCCAATATAAACAGAGTTCTTCAGCAGCGCCGGATTTGTATTCAACCAATTGGCTAATTTGGAAGGTATTCCAGAAAAATGCTAACGAAGTTTTTGCCTAAGGCATTTGAACAAAAAAAATAAATTGTCAGTCCAACTGCGTATCTGCATATCGCCACTAACAAAGTCTGTTCACCTTCGACGCCACGATCCTTCACACATTACCGTCTTTCACATACCCCTTCGTCTAGCTCACCATGCACCTCTCATCTACTGAGTCCCCAGACGCTCTGCGCCGCTCTTGTTTTAATTCTTGCCTCGTGGTCTTAACATTAGTTTTGCGTAACTCTCGATCTAATTACAATTATATACTTTCTCACCCCCGTCCTCTCAAACGTACCAACGCGAATTACCGTGAATGATTAGCCGCTAGCTTTGTAAAACACCGCTTGAAAAAAAACAGGAGATATTCATTATACTTTGAGAATTGTAAACTTCTGGGGTCTAGGAACATAGTTTTAAAATATACGAAGAACTCAAAACACACATCGGCTATCATGGATAGAATAATATCAATCAAAACTGGTCATTCATCCTTACTAGATACCTATATGTATATATATATAGTATAATAGTATATACCCTAAATAATACACGCTGTGCTGCGGCGCTGCGTGCGTCTGACGTGTGTGTGCCGCGCGTGTGTGTGTGCGCGCGCGCCAATGTTGGAACGGGGGTTAAACCTTTACAGGCGCATTCGGTTGGAATGCCCTATAAGTGAGAACGATAATAGAAAGGATTTCATGTGTCGACTCACCTATATTGAAGTGTGAAATGCTAAGAAAAAGACGGCCAGTCCAGATAGACAGCGCAGGCGCACAGACACATCCGCTACAGACGACCATCAAACATGCACGACAGCCCACACACGAAACAAACACTGACATGACACATGCCGAGCGCCGGTAGGTTGGCCATCGTCCTCCAGAAATAAGTTTATTTTTAGCAGCGGTATGAAACAATCTATATAGGTAAAATTTATACTTATAGCACTTCACTCCAATCAGGGCCGGTACTTCAGAAATAATAAAAATAATATAACCATAGAAAGATAAAAAAAAATAATTTTAATAACCGCCGTTAAATTAATTAGCTCATTTTAATCCAAGCAGAGACCATTGTTACCACATAATAGAAACCGCCGGATATAATTTAATTTTCCCATGCGTCAACGTCATAGTGTAATGCATGTTTTATTTCTGATGTTTTTACAAGATGCTAATTTTAGGAAGTTTTATAACAAACATACGTCAAACTGATACGCTGTGGTGTACCTGCGAAAGTCGTGAACCTATTTCACTGCTGACAGCAAAATGTCCCTAGCATCACACAACGCGACCCATAACCATAAATGGGTGCTTAACCATATATTCCTTCCCATGCTGACAAACTAAATGCATACGAAATCTGCACAAACAAAGAATCAAAAGTCTACGTTTACATGCTAATTTAGAGTTTTGTAACACATACGCTTGGTATTTAACCTGTTTACTAGCTTGACAGACAGACTGTCCCTACAATCACACACGCACGACAATAATAGCTCAGCTGGACGTTTACAGCGCTCATTCTCCAAACATACCCCTGGTATCGGTGAGTTTGTGAGCACAAACTCCGTGACGCGGAGATTTTGTCAATTCACCCAGTAAGTCTGTAGCAAATATACAGAATCATGAATACACAAAGGAATTACGTTAAACCTGTTTGCAGATCTCGTATGAAATACGTTAACATATTCGCATCATTAAATGGGCTACGTAATATTACTTACAAAGAATTTCACAAGTTGCTTCATTCAATACTTCTAGAATTTTCAACTTGACAGACTAATTAATTGCATAAACTCGGTTCACAATGTAAATCGTAGATAATCTGTTTCTACACGTGCAAATATATCATCTTCAACCAACCGAGCAATCGAGAAGACAAACAAAAAAGTTTAAGAGCAATCCCACGGAAAAACAGAATAACGTGGAACTAGTGTCGTCAACAACACTAATGTTAGGAATATTCCTAATCCGTTGATAAGATTTCGTCCGCAAAGTCGTTTTCATTAATATCTCATTTGCGTTTTAACAAGTAAATAAAGAATAACTCATACTTCGCCCTCGTCGATTTAACAGAACCCAAATAGGGGGGGGGGTCTCCGGTAAAATTGCGATTAGTCCTGTTAAATTGCTGACTTGGTACTCTAGGAACATTCTATTGTGAGTTTTCTTTTCCTATAAAGCCAACTATTAGCACTATACATACATATATACAAAAGCGTACTTACAATAAAACATATTCTCAAACTATTGTGAATTAGATATATAAATAAGGTACATCTTACATGCCATTTAGTCAACATATTTGCCGGTAACTACAATGAATAACAGGAGACGTTTTATTGCCGACATCCTAATAGCGGGGCAAATCAACAATATAATTCATGTCTGCGAGCGGATCTGATACTCATAGTCGGGATCATTACTCCGTTGCTTTCCGATGTTCCGCTTAAGTCAGGGTCCGTTTATATCAAAAAGAATAAAGCCTGTACATATAAATATCTATGTATCGTGTAAGGAGCTAGAGTCCGGTGAATTCACGAGTGGAGGTTGATTTCATCCCGATTATAATCATCTTACTAGCTTTAAATTTACATGAGTAAAAAAAAAATAAACACCCCCCCGGGAAAAAATCAATCTACATTGAAACAGCCAGATTGCAATTCTCGCGTACCTGGTAATCTTACAATTAATGATAAACAACCAGTGATAGAACAGACAAACCTCTATATTTTACACATAAACCGCGTTCATATCCTAACAACTTGAAACACTCACAGCCATATCACTCGCTACGTTTTTCTCCGTCTGTGCAGTCTAATCATATTGAATAACTATAATTATATATCAATTCTGAGTCTACTTATATATACGTATCTCTTATATATTATAGTATTAGAAAATTTATATTAATGATAACTTATAATATTTACTTACCATTATCCTCACCATCCTAACAACCACTGATATTTTCCTGCATGGCTGTTTACATATCACACTAGTGACCTGATCAATAACTTTCTTAATCGACGGGCACTCCGTGGTACGACTGGATCAAGAAAATACTGCGGCCTCCTAAAATAATATCGTCGGCAGGCAATGAACGGATAGCTAATTCACCCCGGCTCTTAATAAATCAGGTACCTTTATCTGGTTGACCAGTGAGTTGATGCTGAATCTGATTTACAACATCTTCGATACCTACGCGGCTCTCCGTGTAAATGCGAATTATGCTTCGATTTTCCATTATGTTAATCATAGATCGAGGACACCGTTAACTCGGTCGCAAGTGACCTCCGGGCTAGCGCCGCAGACTCGGCAATAAGTTTGGATGCAAGAGTCCAAGCGACTATAAAAGAAAGAATCTGCTTCGAGCGTTGCGACATCGCAGTATCAGCACTAATCGACGTTTTAAACTGCGACAGCGTGGGGTCACGGTCCGCAGGCGCAAGCAGAAAGCACCTGTGCTTAGATTTGCAGTCACTAATGTAAACTTCATCCAAGATAAAGACTGCGCATGGACGGGGATAACGATCCTACTTAACCTTTTCCCCCCCGTCTCGGTTAGTCCTCTTAATCTCATATAGCGATCTCAATAAGTGCAAGGTACTGTAATCGAAACGGAAGCGGAAAATAGTTGATTTAATCATAGCCATACTATATATCAAACACATAATATAACGGAAAAATATCACGATTTTTCTCCATAATTTTGTTCGTTTGTGCACACAGCGCGGTGCCGTGCGGTGTGTACTTTGTCGTGTTGCAGAGACATTTGAACAGCATATTACAGTTG